AGGGTCCAAAAGGTCACGATGGCAGCCAGAGCAGTCAAACGCTACATGACTCGATGTGTGCTGGACAGTGGCTTCTCCCTTTGAAAAAATCATTTTACTGTGTAGTGTTACTGTTTATTATTTTTCTGTTGCTATCCAAACGCCCTGTTGATCTTGCTGTTCGTCACCGAAGACAAATTCCTTGTATATATTTTATACTTGGCCCTTAAAGTATTTTGTATTGTATTTAAAGTTGCTGAGGTTGGAAAACACTGCCCTAGACCGAACTGGCTTACTCCTACAATAAAACCTAAAAGTGGTTTTTCGCAGCTCCTGAAATACCAGCACAAAACCTCATTGCTGGGGAATGGAGCCTTTGCCGTCGGCGTCCACGCGTGAAGAGCGGTTCACAGATCGCCAGAGATAGTAAGAAGGTCTTCTTGGAGAATTAATCGTAGTTCAGAGAATCCTCATAAAAACAAGAGATTTCGGGCCCCTTGTTCCTTCAGGGGATTATTTCCCATTTTCTCTCTTCCCACATGCCTACGCGTGGCCACACACTAGTATTTTAACTTGCATAGAATATTTTCCCTTTAATCTATTCCACTCAATGTACCGCCGTGTCTGAAAAGGTGCTTATTTGTTTCCCTGCTGTCACGCTGGAGACCACCTCTCTGCAAAAATACCGTGTTTCAGCCACAGGTTTTTTTTTTTTTAAATTATAATTCCTGCTGGATTTTTATTTAGACAAGGAGGAGGATCCCCCAGGTTCTGGAAATCATTCTTCCCCTCTCTCCCCCGTAGGCAAAGATAGGGCTGAGTCAGGAAGATTTTTATGGATTGATTTGTATTTGATGGTTGTACAACATTTCTGCGCCCCCCGATCGTCATAAACGCCGGGCGGGGGGGCCGGTAAGTAGAAGCAGCTGTACAACACCACCAAAAATAAAAGAATAAAAGTTCAATAAATGAGGACACGCAACTGTAGAGCAGAGTTTTTCCTGTGGTTGCCCAGCCAAGCCAAGGTCTGGATAATTTGCAAGCGCCTGGTCACCTTTGCCCGACATATTAAACACCTAAAACTGGATTAGGGAAGTTGCTATGTTCAAGGGCATCCATGGTGTGTGTGTGTGTGTCAAGATGGTGGCTGTGATCCTGGGACTGAAGCCCCATCCCTTCTTCACATGCCAAGCCACGCTTCCTTCCAGCTTTTCTTCCAAGCGCCTTTGCTCTGGGTGACTTTAATCGGAGTGGAGGCTCCCAGAATTCCCTGCCAGCAGGGCTGGTACCAGCTGAATTCTGGGAACTGAAGTCCAGGACATCTAGAGGCTCCCAGATCTCTTTGGTTTTTGGGAAGGGTAGAGTTCTGAGGTCTGAAAAGTGTGCTGTCTCACTGATAGGGGAAAAGGTTGGGCGGGGGGGCTCAGTCCCGCCAGCCTAATTTGCTTTTGCCAAATCCCTTTATTTATCCTTCAAAAAAAATAAAAATAAATTAAAGATGATCCCAAGCTCATAAGGCCATTGAATCCCACATCTTTTTTTGGTTTAGTTTGTTTTCTTCACATGGCACCTTGCAAGCTTTGTTCCTCCTATGAGATCTCAACCACCGCTGATTTTTAATGTTATTATGATCGCTATTATATGTCATCCCCTGCATATAAGTTTGCTGCCTTCAGTCCATCCTTTAAAAGAACTGCTGAAGTTCCCCTGACTGGGTAGATTTGAAGTAACAGACTGGAGGGGCCCCGTTTTTAAGCCTCATCTTGGTCCAGTCCTTCTGGTTTCTGCATTGGCTTCTTGAGGTGGCCCGCAGTGAGAAAGCCAGAAGACCTCCCGTCTACCTTGTCCTCGGATGAAAGTTGTCCGGGGACCATAGCTTATTTTGGAAATCCCTTTGTGCCTTTATTCAACGAGATGGGCTATTGTATGCCAAAGCCGTTGAGGAAATGTCCATCCGTGAATGAAACGAAGGACTTTCCCTACCAGCGCTGTGGTGGTTCCTGTAAATGCAGCCCCTCTGATGTGTCGAGATCAAAGGCAAAGTTGGACAATTGGAAAGAGCGCAGCTGGATTTGCTTATACAACGTGGCCTATTTTTTCCTGTCCCCTTTTGCTAGGCTGATAGATTGCTTCCTTTTCACAGCATGGTGGGGTCAGCGTGTACAGTAATTGGGACCCTCTAGTCAAATGAAAACAGTCTCCGTGCCAGCAAGCAGGCATCGTGCTATTCCCTTTGGGGGAGAACTGTAGTCTGCAAAATGCAGAAAAAGAATAGCATAAACTGAAGGACTCTGAGATTGTAATGGTACGTGGGAATGACCTTGGGAGACGGGGAAGAGCCACAGCCAAGGGAACAGTCAGATAAGAGGCAGCTGAACCTGCAGAAGGAATGGGGACCTG